GAGAGAGAGAGAGAGAGAGAGAGAGACAGACAGACAGACACAGAGACAGAGAGACAGAGAGAGACAGAGAGAGACAGAGAGATTGATTTTGTCCTTATGCTGGTTCGTTTTAGTGTCTGTATGCTTGCCCCTGTATTTGGTGCTGGGTTTTAGGGGCTGCCGAGTCATGACGTGGATTGAGCGAGAAAAATCTGTGGTGAGTGTTGGAGAGATCATTATCCTTGAGGATAGACAGAGCACGCAGTGAACTGCTCACGTCGACAAAGGATTTAATTGCTAGACACAACGGTTGAGAAAAAGAGAGATAGGGAGAGAGGGGGGTTGGGATAGGAGAGAGAGTTGGGGTGAAAAGAATGAGCAGGAGAGAGAGAGAGAGAGAGAGAGAGAGGGAGAGAGGGGGGGAGAGAGAACGCAGAGCCAGATAAAGAAGTTAATGTGCTCGAAGACATGAAACAAAGACTGGGCGATAGGGTACAACAAAGAATAACGAAATAATGAATTCCGAGGGTAAACACCGTTTAGCATTACGGTGGATTAAAAAAAACAAAGATCCAATCTCTTTTTCCTTTTCTTCATTTTCTCGACGAGTTTCAGTGTTCTTAATTTCCCCAACCCTGAAAACACTCATATCCCTGTACACGTTCTCAAAGGTATGCGGGAAATCAGACATAACAGACGTCAATTGAGGTGGGAGGGGTGGGAGGACGGTGAAAGGACGATGGGTAAGAAAGATGGGAAGGGTGGGGGGTTGGACGGATGGATGCAGTCTGAGGAATGCATTTACAGACATTGTTTACCCAACCGTTTTGCCGAATGTTAATCAAAGAGTTAATGACGCCATAAAGTGCGTTATGAAAAAGCTTTCTTTTTAATGTTATTTTCTGTTATTTCAATTTTTCTTTTTGTTTTGCTTGCTTCTGGCTTTTCCCATCTGATTTCCTGTCTGAACTGGGAGTAGCAGAGCTAGTGTGGGCTCGTTCTAATTAATCCCTACCCGCTTCTCTACCTCGCGTGTGCTGCTACGTTCAATAAAATCAAGTTTCTAGATCTATGGGCATTGTCTCGGTGAGTGTGCTAGTAAGATGCCATGCCAATGTTGCGTGGTTTCCCCATGTGTCTACGTTGCGTTTGACGTCAGTTTATGTGCTGCTCCTCTCTTGTATATTAATTATCTTTATATATTGTCTTTACTCTGGTTTTGTATCAGGCAGGAGAGATATTCGACCGGTATCTGTTGTGGTGTAGCGTTTTGACACTTAACAGTTCGAAGTAAAAATTCTGAGTTCGATTCCCGTGTGGGGATAATAACTTTCATGGAGTAGCCCATCTCGGTCTCTCTGCTGGAACATTGTATCCCTCTAAATCTATACCTTCTAAAGCACCTATTTTCTTCGATTGGGGAGTATAGCGAGATATTTATTCCGATGTTATATATCATAATATTATTATAATATCCAGTAAGGGATGTGGGAGCCATATGAAAAGTGCAGTACATCTGTGTGGTAGCTTATTTTTGTCTTCACTTTTCGTGGACAAATATACGGACGCATATTTGGGATAAGCGTGTTTACACTTTCAACATGTTGGATAAATTACGATATTATGACTGACCGATTTAAACTTGATTTTGAAAAGTATATTATAAACGTATGTAACCGAAATTTAGCGCTGTTACTTCTTGGATCCCTTAATCTTTCTAAAAATTAAATGTACACTACATTTCTACCTTCCCACTGGAATTGCGTCATTGAGCTAAATCCATGACCGATTATGACGTGATTTGGGAAATACGTATAAACGTGTGCAACCGAAATATTGTTTCAATACTTCTCGGAGGTCTTGATGTTTCCAAAATGAAATAATATATTGTTAGTCTGCTAAGCATTTTGGGATTTCGTTATTAAGTTAAGATAATATTCCTGAAAATGTAGAGCTGATGGCGTAGCATTCTTGCCGTGGAGTCACAGGGATTTATTCTTGAAGGAACTGTTAATAAAATGGACCATTGTTTTAAAAACTTCTGAACAGAATACTCCGATTAAAAGCTGATGTGTACGAACGTTTTCAGAGTGCAAGGATATTCATTCGAGACAATCGAGAAAGCGTTTCCTTCTAGCAGACATGGACGTGCAAAACAGTCTGAAGGCTTCGTTGGATCTTGATTCATAACAACAATTTGTTTGCGTTGTCTCTCCGTTGTGTCATCGGATTTCTTCTTTATATTCAGCATTTTTTTCCTCGTTCAGCAAACAAGACGTCAAATGTATCTTTTCTGAAAAAGTTGTCTACAATGTGAACAAACGAGTTTTTAAAATTTTTAAAGCGTGACTTTCTCCGCATGACTAAAATGTGAACAGAGTTGCTTTGTTTCTTTTTGTGTTTTGACCGGATCTACCTGTATTAAACGCTACCAAGACCTTAATGTGATTCTCCCATTCTTCACGATGGAGGGGAAAAGTAGCAACATGAGTTATCTCTGGAAGTCTTTACTCAAGAAATGGAAAGAAAGTAAAAAGGAAGCGAATCGCAGGAACTCTGAGGTTTCCACAGCAACGAGCTTCCTCATGAGACTCGCCTCTCGGAAGAAGAAAGGGTGAGTATTGTTTGTGTTGTGATTAGTCGGAGAGTTGTATTGGACTGTGCGCGCCACATACAATCTCCCACTATTGTGGCGTGGACATACTTCTTTATAGTTTTATCATTGTCTATATTTGTTATCATTTTTGTTGTTGGTCTTTGCTTTCATACTTTCATAGCATAGCATAATAGAAGTGGGCGGTTGGCGGGTGCTCTGGTGTGGTTTGCTCCTTCTTTCCTATCGCAAACATCTATCGTCCTTATCTCCCCTTCTTCTTTTTAATGTTTGTTACTCTCTTGTAACACCTCTAATCTTCTGGCGCTCATATGACCTTATGCAGCTGCGAGCTCCGTAAAACCTCTACTAAAACTACTAATAGAAACAATCTGGTGGATGCGAAGAGACAAGGCACTACTAGAGGGGTGGAGACCAAAAATAAATGAAGAAAATGCTTTTTACTATAATAACAAGTTTACAAAAGTGAGTGAAAGTAAATTTAGATCAAATAATTTCGTTTAGAAGCGTCTTTCAAGCAAGACGTCACAAGGACAAAGATGTGGCCCCGGTGAGAATGGAATGGAGACCTTAGGAACGTATGAAGTTGCGAGTGCGGAAAAGCTCTTACTATACTAAACTAAACTAGACCTTGTTTACTAGATCAAGTACGTTCTAAACGGATAGATAGCTATAGTTTACTTTTACTGAAAAACCAAGATGGTCCGGATAAAGTTAGAGCAAATTTCCCTTCGCTCGTATTTTTTTGTTTCTGTACAAAGATCTCCAAGACATACTAATTGTTCAGTTCCAAAGTGAGGTAGAGTGTAGAGTGTCTGAGTCAATGTTGCATCACTTACCTAGCTTTCCATCGATTTCTTGGGCTAAAAAAGAGCCCTTTACTTTCAAGTGTTTGTGGTGTACAAGTGGTACCCCTCTGGGGGAGGATCTGCGACATTGGTTGCTGGAGCAACAAACAAGATTATTTTATTTTATTTTTATTTTTTGCAAATTGGCTCTCAATGGCTAAGTGATGTTTGGAGTTAAAGATCAATCTTTCGTTCAGTTGAAGTTTCCCAGTTTATCGGCTTTATAGAAGATAGCATAATATTAATAAGTGGAAGATGAGTGAAATTGGGATTTACGATAATTTCTAAAAAAGCAAATGAACTCGTTCACCCCAACTCTAAGCAATTGTAATCTGATATCTTTTTTTTAGCTCGAGAAGCACGCATTAAAGGAAATGTGATGCCCTAGAAATAAATTACATTAATTAAGAAAATCAGATCAAAAGCACGAAATGGAGTACAGAAATGCCAATTAGAAGTTAGAATCGGCGTGTCTCGTAATTCCTATAATATATTGTGCCTCAAATCTTAAAAATAAAAAAGAACGATCTCTGGTGTTGCTTAATGCTGCAAAGTAACCTTCCTAGTCTAACTGCATGAGTCATTGTGAATTTTGAGCGTCCTTTCTTAGAATATGATGAAAATGCTTTTCATGCCAGACGTCCTACTATATATACATGACTGAGTGTATTATTATTTTATATATTACTTGTATATTATATACTAAGAGAGAGAGAGAGAGAGAGAGAGAGAGAGAGAGAGAGAGAGAGAGAGAGAGAGAGAGAGAGAAAGAGAGAGAGAAACAGAGAGACAGAGAGATAAGAGACATAAGAGAGTCAGAGAGACAGATACGCACTCAGACTGAAAAAAGAAATAATGATATATCGATTCCAACGCCGTTGAAATTAAAATCTCGAATATATGCGTTACGTTTTTTTTTTCAAGTTACTTCTATGACATAATATGTACCAAGATTAAACTCTAAGAAGTGTAGTATCATTCTTAAACTGGTTCTATTTATTCAGCGATGTGATGGGTCCTTTAAAAAACGCTCCGGTAATTCCGAGTTGCTGACGCAGGTTGCCATTTTTATTCAATAAAGAAACTTCCGTTCGAGCCTCCTTCAATTGGATCAGAAGCGGCACAAGGTCACTGTTGAAACAAGGAAGTTCCACTGGCAGACTACTGTGGTGGAGTGGTTAGGCACTTCAGCTTCGCACGCAGAAGACCTGAGTTCAATTCAAGAGTGGGAATAATTCTAAAAGAGTATTTAAGTCTTTCTGCTTGTAATGTTACATCCACCCCATCCCCCTTTTTGCCTCTACCCACACACCCTCTTGTGTTGTTTGCTTCTTCTTTCCTATCAAACATCTATCGTCCTTATCTCTTCTTTTTCATTTTTGTGTATGTTATTCTCTTGTAACACATCTATTCTTCGGCACCTATATGACCTTATTGTGCTACAAGTGCCGTAAAACGCTTACTAAAACAAACACACACACCCCTAGGCCCGGCTGGGTTGGCCCTGACTAGCGGGGTCGAAGCCTGCCTCTTAATTGATATAAATGTGAGGCAGCGTGGTGGAACAGGCTCTCGTCAAAATAATCAAAGTTCAGAAATGCGCATTTTTTCGCAGGTTTGTGAATTTTTATCAAATTTAGGCTTTTTGGCCCAAAACACCTTTCATTACTGTGTGTATTTTTCTGAAAAACGTTAACTAAAAACCCCCAAAATATAAATTTTTATTTACCATCTACTCTTAAACTAAGGAAATAACTAATCTTTGGCGGCCATTTTCTCACTAATTTTACCTCTGAAAACAGATGACCCCCACCTTCTTCTTTCGCAAATATCTCGACTTGTATTCAAGATAATTGGATACTTTTTTCCTCCAAATAAAGGCAAGTGAACAAGCTTTAAGATGATACCAATAACTCTACATGCCCAAAAATTGACGAGAGCCTGATTCCACCACGCTGCCTCACAAATCGTGTCGATGGGGGCGTAAAAACACCTGCTTAGGAAAAGAAAATTCCTGGACGCAGCCAGAAAACTCTCATTCCTAAAACAAGTACATATTGTATAAAAGCGTCTTGTTCGCATGATTTTATGGCGACCAAAATTTGGCCGAACTGAGTGTGGGGATTCTGGACGTGAGTCAAG